GAGGAGGAGGAGGAGGAGGAGGAAGAGGTGGAGGAGGAGGAACGTGATGCGCAGGATGATGAAGAAGGCAGGGGGACTCGGCCCCCCTGCTGTCTGAGTCTTCCTGCTCCTCCTTTTTGCCCTCTCCCCCCTCCCTCTGCAGGACCGCCGCGGCGCTCTATACATCCGTAAGCATCTCCGGATCTCAGAGACCCCCGATGTGGGCCCGTCCGATGTTGGTTTGGTCGTGGCTTCGTCTTGCGGATCCTGAGCAGATCCGTGTACTTGGTCATGGTCGTTGACGGCGTATTCGGAGCATGCGCCGCCGTGCCGGGTGGCTCGGCTAAAAAGGGAGGGGGGATCCGAAGTCCTAGAGGCGAGGCAGAAAGAGGAGCGGGTGGCACGAAGAGGGCCAAGACAATTCCACGAGCGGGGCAGCCTTGCCTCGGAGATGCGAGTGAAATGCGAGCGCGCCTAGGAAGCCGTGCCGGGGAGCTGCCTGGGCGTTGCCCACGAGCCTTCAGAAGCGTTGCCTGCCCCGTCGCCCCCGCCTCCGCCTCCTTGCCTCTCTGCCGCTCGCTCCTGCTGCACGTGTGCGGAAGGCTTCGCGCAGCACCCAGGCAGCGCCTCCCAGGCTCGCGCGGAGCAGCTCCAGCAGGCAGGCAGCAGGGGAGGGAGCACAGAGGAAAGGGAGGATGAGCCCCGGGCGGAGGGGACAGAGGCAGTGCAGCTCGATGGGGGGCGGGGGCTTTGTGGGCCCCGGAAACGGCAGGGCCGTTTTTTCACCGTTTCCAAAAAATGTCCCTAAACAATAAAAACGGCAAAAAACGGCGACCGGAAACAGCAAAAAAAAAAACGGCTCCAGGATTGGAACCGGAGCCGGAACCAGTCAAAAAACGGCGACGGAACCGGTAAAAAAACTGCGTCGAAACGGGCAAAAAACGGCAGAACGGAACCCGTAAAAAAGAACGGCCCTGTCGTTTCCAGGGCCCATTAAGGGCGGGGGGGGCTTCCAAGCCACTGGCCGTGGTGCCGTATAGTTGTCTGTAGTCAGCTGTCGCGGGGTATTTATTCTGGCGCCGGTACCATGGTGAAGCAGTACGGCTCCTCTCGAGACCGATGTTCCTGTCAAGGAGTTGGATACGAGGGCCGATGTGTACCAAAGGAGTTGTCTCCCCTGTCCCATAGATACTCCTCCTTGTCCTCCGCGGCGGTTTGGTTCCAACCAGTGCGAGCATACACGATGTTAGTATCGCAGTGCCGTGCCAGATGCCTTCGCACAGCAGGGGGCTGTAAGACAAGGCGCTGCCAAGTCCCGCCCCTCGGGAACCAGCATTCCGGTCTGCAGTGGGGAGCCTTCGAGGGCACCGCGCCCGCCCCACACCATGTCGCAGTGCCTCTTGCGCAGATGATGGTGGCAAGTTGTTGGAAGCTGGGACATATACATTACTAGTGGCGGGTTGTTGTTCCAATCACTCGATTTTTGGTTAGGGTCGGGGACGATGTCGGGGTGGTGTGGTGTATACTTTCCTCCTGCTTGCCGGGGGAAGCAACGAAAAATGTATACATCAGGATCCCGTGTACACCAAACTCCGCGTTCTTGTGGGAATTGCAGCGCAGGATCAGAAAACACGTCGGTGTGTAGAGCTCGTTCCCCTAATTTGTTCTTACCCTCCTGGCTCTGCCACTCTCGTGGTCGTGCACGTCCAGGGCTTCACCCTCGACGATGGCATCCGCCCCCGGTCTCTCCTCTCCTGCCAGGCGCTCTCCTGAGGGCCCGACGCCCCCTCGACGCCCCTGCCTCCGCTCGCCCCCGCCAGAGGAGGAGGAGGAGGAGGAGGAGGAGGAGGAGGAGGAGGAGGAGGAGGAGGAGGTTGAGCAGGAGCAGGAGCAGGAGGAGGAGGAGGAGGAGGAGAAGGAGGGGGAGGACGGGGGGGAGGGAGGGAGGGGGAGGGAGGGAGGGAGGGAGGGGGGGGAGAGCGGAGGAGGAGGAGGAGCAGGAGCAGGAGCAGGAGGAGGAGGAGGAGGAGGAGGAGGAGGAGGAGGAGGAGGATGGAGGAGGAGTGCCTCCGCTCGCTCGCCGCTGCTGCCGCCTCAGGGGCCTCGGCCAGTACCTCCGCGGCAGCAGCGCCCTCCGGGAGCTGCGCCTCGAGCGCGCGGGGCTGTCGGGCGCCCCTGGCCGCTCGCGTCATCGTCGCCGTCGTCTTCGTCGTTGTCGTTGCCGCGACGCGTCGCCGACAGCGACCACGGCTACCTCGCAGCTGCCGTCAACAGCGGTTCCGCCCCTCTGCTGCTCCTCGTCTCACGCCTCCGCTTCTGTCCTCCTCTCTCCCCCCCTTGTTTCGGAGGCAGCTCCTGGGAGGTCAGATTCTGACCTTGCCCTGATCCGAAGTCTGGCCTAAACCAGCGTAATACCGTTGAATCCACCTTAATTCCGTTTAATTTGGTTCGATTCCGCCAGATTGCGGCCGAATCCGGCGTACCAGCCCCCAAATGGGGTTTGATCCCCAATTCTTCCGACGAAGACCTCTCAGTAGTTGCCTCCTAACCTTGTCGTGCCACCCTTCCCCCCCCATACGCTCTCTCCCCCTCCCCGTCCCCTCTCTCCCCTGCCTGGCCCGCCCCACCCCCCTCCGCACCTCCCTGGGTCGTCCTCCCCAGCTCCCCGATGGTTCTCGTTCTGCCCCCCTTCCAGCCTCCCCCTCCCGCGAGAGGCGCAAGACCGCGCCGTCCGGGCCTGTTCGTTCGGAGTCGCAGGTTGGGCCTCTGAGCCGCTGAGGCCCGCTGCTCCCTCCCCTTCATTCGATCCAGGAAGAGGGTCCAGCATTGAGGGCGCCAAGAGTCTCGGACATGCTGTGGGTTGCTAGGCTGTTGCATGCCTTCTTGTGGGCCTCAGGAAGGCCCTCCCCTCCTCCTCCTTCTCCTCCTCCTCCTCCCCTCATCCTCCTCCTCGTCCTCCTCTCCTCCCCCTCCCTCCTCCTCCTCCTCCTCCTCCTCCTCCTCCTCCTCCTCCTCCTCCTCCTTCTCCTCCCCCACCTCCTCCTCCTTCTCCTCCTCCTTCTCCTCCTTCTCCTCCTGCCTCTATGGCATGTTCATGCTGCCAAGGAGGTCGTGCTGCATCATGTCAGCATGTCCATGCTTTTGCACGTTCGTGCTGCTCCCCCCATCCCTCCCGCATCGTGCCTGTGCTGCTGCCCCTCCTCCCAGCCGGCCCGACGGCCGCCGCCAGATGGGGTCTCCTTCTCTGCGCTCGACGCCAGTCGGGAGGAGGAGCCCAGGATTGGGGGAAGTGGGGAGGGAGGGAGGGGGGAGGGAGGGAGGGGGGAGGGAGGTACTACTTGTATTGTGGGGCCCCCCCCCCCCCCCCCCGGCACTGTTTCCACTTACGGAGTGCATTGCGACGGCATGCGTTTTCTATATCGATTGTGCGCGCAATACAAACGCATTTCCAGCATGGCCATTGTAAAGTTCACGAGCTATGATAAAGCTTGAAGGGAGTGCCGTATCATAATGTTACGGCTCAAGTCTGTTCTCATGGTCGGTTGGCCCGCCCAGCTGCTCGCTACCAAGGCTGCCGACCTAGCGATAGTCTGGGGTCTTGGCTCGCGCCAGTGCCCACCGTGCCCCGACTGCACTGTCAACTGCCCGACGGTCACTTGCTCGACGCCGTCGATCAATATCACCTGCCCGACCTTCTCTTGCCCGTCGTTTGCCCCGCAGGCGGCCGAGGGAGCGGGCCGGTCAGGCGTCTTCTTCTTTGTCGCAGGCCTGCTCGTGGGCTTCGGAGTTTTGACTTGCACTGGTCTCATAGGCCGCAGTGTTGGCTGGCTGTCTTCGTTCTGTACCAGACGCCCGGAGGTGGAGGTTGTCGCGGACGACTCGTCCACTCGCGACCTGGCGCTGAGGCAGCTCGCCATCATCCGTCAGCGCAATGGTGGCACCAGGTGACGTGGTGCTGGTCAGGTACGACCTGCCTGGCCCGCCGCTCTGGCACGAGCGTCTCATCCTCGCGGTGGGCGCGCAGCCAGGGCACTACGCGGTGTTGACGCCTGACGGCGACATTTTTGTTGAAGAGCTTCGACCAGATAATGTTGATATTGCAGAGTTTCGCGCTGCACCAGGACTGGGAGTACCGCCGCAGGATATCCCACTGGCCAGCGTGTATCGGTTCCGTGCAGTGCCGACCGCAGCCGAGATGTTCCAGCACGTGCGAGACGGAGCGCTTCAGGCAGGCGTACCTGTTCCAGCGGCGCCGGTGGTGCCTGTCGTGGGCGCGCCTGGTGCAGCGCCTGGCGCCTGGCATCCGCCGCTGGGGCCAGCAGCTCCGCCCGCAGGGGCGTTGGTGGCCGTGGCTCCTCCGATGGGGGCTCACCTCGGCCCAGCCGCGCCGCCGCCCGTGGCTGCAGGCGGCGCGGCCGCTCCAGGCGCGGCTGCTGCGGCCGCTGCGGCGCCAGGGCCCGCTGGCGCAGCGGCAGTGGCGGGTTCGCCGCTCGTGTGGGTTGCGGCCGAGGACACTCAGGACATCGCGAAGGGGACTCAGATTCCGACACTTCCTGACGCCGTTGTGACATGTGGCGACAGAGGCATCATCCCCTACGGCAACGGTCACTTGTTCGTGCAGCGCATGGCAGAGGCCGACATCTATAGGTTCGTGCATGACGATCTCAGGGTGCTGCCCGTGGTCGTCGACGCGTCGGGCGAGCGTAAGGTCGGCTTCGCGGAGGCGGTGTCGGCCATGGATCCAACGCCCCCGAGAGGCGGTCTAGGCCTAGACGGGCCGCCCACCACGTTCTGGTTGTTGAAGCAGATTCGAGATGATGATGCGAGCCCGAACGCTCACCATGAGAGGTGGGTGCGATCGTCACGCATTCCCGAGGGAGATCGCTCGGTATACGAGCATCAGGTTCTCTGCAGGATCCTGGACGCTGCCGCCACCTACGACCAACTGAACCTGCCAGCTATGAAGTGGGCCGAATTGGTATGCCGCCGCATGGCACTGATCAAAGAGGCCCACCGGGCCGCACCATCCAATCCAGATTATTCTGCTGGCGACGTCTTCATGGGCTGGGGACCTCAGTCGGCGGGAGGCGGCGCGAATCCAGCGCTGGCGCAGTACGTGGCAAACCAGCTGAAGGACCAGGCGGCCATCGCGAAAGAGAGCAGAAAAGCCCGCGAGGAGCAGCAAGCCCGAGGACGTGGACGCGGCAGAGGCCGTGGCCGCGGCGGAGGTGGACTCGCTCCCGCGGGCGAGGAGGGATGAGCCCCCTCCCTCCTGGGCAGAGTGGCCGCCTCCCAGGAGATCTTCCAGGCCTGCGCGGCGGTGGCGTCTTACAGCAGCGACTCCACCAGGCCCGCGCTCCACAAGAGCTCGGACCCTTCCATGCCCATCGACACGGCCAGGCGGTCGCGGGGGATCGACCTCGCGATCTTTTCCCCTTGCCTCCAGTTGATGCTAGGCGTGATGTGCCTGAGCAAGTTTTGGCTTCTGATCGAGCCCTCCAGCGCCGAGAGCGGCGTGCACATGAAGCGACGACGGCGTGCAGTGCCCTCAATGAGTTGTACGGGGTCGGCTCCACGGACCTCGCTCCCAACCTGGCGCAGGAGGAGGCTCACCATCAGGTACTGAGCAAGCTAGCTTCTGTGCCTGGCAGCGGTAAACCTGTACCTTTTCCGCATGACGCCTTCCGTGAGGTCATGCGCACAGACCTCTCCTACGCTTCGGAGGAGGTTGCGAGTCGCGTCCGACCCTTTCGCACTGCCCCCGTGTCTCTTCCTCAGTCGGGCGCAAGGGCGCCCAGGCTCGAGGATGTCCTTGACCAGGAGGGGCGTCAGGTTTTAATCGAGGGGGTCGACCGCATGCTTAAGTCCCCACAGGAGTGGGGGAAGTGATCGAGACCTCTCCTCACGTCACCCCCTACTTCGATGAGGTCTTGCGAGCTGATCAGATTGCATACGAAGGTTTTGTGAAAGACTTGTATCACGCGGGTATCGTTGAGTTTTCATCTGAGGTCGAAGATCACATCACTCCATTCTTTGTCGACAAGAAGGGCGTTGCTCTGCGCATGGTCTTGGATTGCAGAAGTCCGAACCGTAGGTTCAGAGCGCCACCTCGGATGAGGATCGCAACGGGAGCTGTCCTCTCTCGTCTGCAGGTTCCACAAGGCCAAGTTTTGTACGGTGCTCTGTCGGATGTCAGCAATTTTTTCTACTGGCTCGTGCTGCCGCACTGGCTCCGCAAGTACTTTGGCCTGCCAACAGTTAGTACTGCCAACGTCATATCTTGGGGCGCTCTTCCGGGACATGAGTCTCTTCGGGATGGCCTTCCTGGTCGTGTTTATCCTGTCATGCGGGTCTGTCCTCAGGGCTGGTCCTGGGCTTTCTGGTTCGCACAGCGGGCTCACTCACATCAGGTTCTACTGGGTACCCGACTCGGCTCGGACCGACTCCTCGAAGAAGATGCCCCAACTCCGGACTTGTCCTGTAAGGTCCCCGTGGTCCCCCCCTACTGCGACAACTTGATAGTCATGGGCACAGACAAGGACTCCGTCAGTAATGTTAAGATGTTGGCAGTCGAGCAGCTCAGACGTGTGGGCTTCCAGGTACATGAGGAGGTGGAGGTTGCAACCTTTTTCGAGTCCCTGGGCTACCTGGTTGATGGAAAACGGGGAGGGGTCTTTCCGATCCCTCATCGGCTTGAGAAGGCCGTCGCAGCGTTCACCCATCTCAGGAGGAGGCCGCACGTCACGGGCTGGCAAATTAGTAAGGCTCTCGGTTACGTCACGCCGATCTTCCTCCTCACCCGCTCCATGTTCTCGTTGCCTAATGCCCTGTATCAGTTCATGCACGAGAACTGGAGCCGCAAGAGGCGCCTCTGGCATTCAGCCGCGCTGGAGTGTAAGTGGATATCTGTGTTGCTGCCGCTCGCTTGGGCGGACCTCAGGATGCCGTGGACTTCGCAGGTAAAAGCTACAGATGCCTCGCTGTCCGGGTACGCCGTGGGCAAGTCTCTCTGGAATGTCTCAGATGTGGTGGAGGCAGGGGGTGCTCGAGAAAGGTTTCGATATCGCTGTGCCGTGCCGTCAGCCGCGCCGCGCCGCGCCGCTCTGGGGGCCCTCGACCCGTTCCAGGACCTCGAGACGGTGAAGCCCATCGTCGACCGCTTCGAGCCCTCCCCCTACGAGCCCAACTACCTCTTCAAAGAGATCCCCGAGGGCCTCCTGCAGGACTCCATGTGGAAGACTAGCTACGCGGCGCCCTTTGTGTTCAAGGAAGGTATTGGGGATCTGGAGTCTCGTGCTACGGTCTCTGGCGTTAAGCATACTCTGAGGTCCTCTGGAGGCTTCCGCTCTCATCACCTGCATCTTGGAGACAATCTTGGCAATGTCTTGGGACAAGAAAAGGGCCGCATGAAGAACTTCACGCGTCTGGTCTGCTGTAGGAGACTCTGTGCTTTGGAGCTTGCCACTTCCGCTCGCATACACCATCGCTGGATACCCTCGGAGCGGAACCCTGTGGACAAGGGGTCTCGTTTGTGGGAGCACCTTAGGCTCAAACATGGTCAGGGGCCTTCTCCCTCAGGGAACACTGCCTCTGCCGCGGCCTCAGGTGCGGCTGAGCGGCCAGCCGCCTTTCGCCCTCCTCCAGGACTGCCCCACCCCGTCCCATGTGCGAGCCCCTCGCCCCCGGGGCCGAGGCCTGCGGGCCGCGCAGGTAAGGCCGCCCGCTCGGGCTACGACGGCCTCAGCCGCGCGGCGAGCTCGCACGCTGGGGACGCAGGAGAAGCAGCGGCTCGCTCGGGGTGCGCCCAACAAGCACGCTCGGGCGCAACTCAGGCGCGAGATGGTCGGCTCGATCGGCATCCGTGCGTCACGCTCGCCAGAGACGCAGGTCGAGACGTTCCTGGAGGCGAACGCCGTCACGGAGCGGACACATGCCATGTACGTCAAGAGGGTCGCGGACTTCGAGAGCTGGGTCTCGGCCAGGGGCCTCAAGCTCACCTCCGCCAAGCTGGTGGACTGCGCGCTGGTGGACTACCTGAACCAGCTGTGGATCGACGGCGCGGACATCGGCGAGGCGACGGGCACCTACGCGGCCTGGGTCAAGCTTCGCCCCTCCTTCTCCAAGAAGGGCCCCGACAAGCTCGTGAGGACCATGAAGGCGCTGCAGGGCTTCAACAGGCTGGACCCCGGCAGGACCAGGCCGCCGCTGCCGCTGGCGTTTGCAGCACTCATAGCGGTGGAGCTCGTCGGCATGGGCCTCGGCGGCATGGCGCTGGCGGTGATGCTCATGTTCTCGGCATACTTGAGGCCGATCGAGCTCCTCTCGCTTCAGGTGTCGGACGTGCTCGTGCCGACCCAGGGCAGCCCGTGCTACGCGATCCACCTTCACCGTGCGGAGCGAGGTCAGCCCAGCAAAGTTGGCCTGTACGACGAGACGCTGCTGTTGGACTCGTCGGCGCTGCCGCTCCTCGGATACCTTCTGGACGCGCACCGGGCCGCGGCTGCAGGGCCAGCACTGTTCGACTTCGATTACCGGAGCTTCAACGAGAGTTTCAGGACAGCTGCGAGGACCGCAGGTCTGGCGGCCATCAAGCCCGACTTGTATCAACTTCGTCACGGCGGCCCCTCGCACGACATCCTGAACCGTCTTCGCTCGAAGGCAGAGGTGAAGGACAGAGGCCGCTGGAGGGACGATCGCTCAGTTCGACGATACGAGGCGCACGGCAGGCTGCAGCTCCAGGAGAAGCTGGTCTCAGAGGCGACACAGAGCCGCGCGGCAGCATGCCTGGTCGACCTCGAGGCTCAGCTCCAATCAAGTATGCCGCAGTTCGCCCGTGCCGTGCCATCTTCCAAGGTCAGAAGATCGTCGAGCTCTTCTCTGGTGAAGCTGGCTTCTCGAGGGCTGTCGCAGCCGAGGGGGTCGAAGCGGGAGCTTGGGATGTGATTGACGGTCCCGGCGCGGACATCCTGACGACCGCCAACAGACGCAGGCTTGTCCGGGATTTCAAGACAGGCAGAGCTGTGGCCCTGCTAGCTGCTCTCCCTTGTCAGACCTGGACCAGGGCCCGAAAAAATGACGGTCAGGGACCTGGACCCCTTCGGGACGATCAAGACCACCTCTGGGGCCTCCCAAATCTTTCCCAAAAGGATCACGACAGGGTCCAGCTAGGCAACAGGCTATGGGTCGTCACCTTCCGCATTATCTGTCAGCTGGCCTCCCTCGGGGTCCCCGCGGTGCTCGAGAACCCGTTCTCGTCCAGGATCTGGATTACCAAGCATGTCAGTTATCTCATACGCAAGTTTGGGGCTCGTTTGCTCGAGGCGCATTATTGTCAGTACGGAACCCAGTGGAAAAAACCTACAGGCTTCCTGGTCATCAATTGCAACTCGCTCTTTGATTTCAAAAGATGTTCTGGGACAGGGGGACGCTGCTCTGCTAGTGGACATAGGCATATACAGCTCATGGGTAAGGACGCCAATGGTAACTTCCGCACTAGAAGGGCTCAGGCCTATCCCGCCCCCCTGTGTAACTTTTTAGCCCGCTCCCTGGTCGCTCATTTAACAAGTCAATATACGCTTAGCCTCGAACCTCATTTTTTCGCGCTAGATAAAGATAATTAGCACTTCGTAGGGCACACGTGCATGTGGGTATGGGAGCGATTGATGGCTCGAGTATTTCTCACGATCCCGTAACTCGTCGCCACTGGACTGCTGATGTGTACTGTCTGCCTCGTAGCGTGCCCAGGCGGAGAGCTCAGTAACATTGTGCACTGTGCTGCCAAAAGATTTCTCTTGTATATCTTGTGGCTTCGCCTATGCACGTCCTGGCACGGCATGTTGCGGGATCATTGTAAAGTTCACGAGCTATGATAAAGCTTGAAGGGAGTGCCGTATCATAATGTTACGGCTCAAGTCTCCCGCCCACTAACCACCCTCAACCCTGTAGAGCAGGGTTGCTTCTCAGTTGTTTCACAACTCTCGCTAAAGCGGAACTAACCTCTCCGGCTGGGAGCGATTGATTGCTCGAGTATTTCTCACGATCCCGTAACTCGTCGCCACTGGACTGCTGATGTGTACTGTCTGCCTCGTAGCGTGCCCAGGCGGAGAGCTCAGTAACATTGTGCACTGTGCTGCCAAAAGATTTCTCTTGTATATCTTGTGGCTTCGCCTATGCACGTCCTGGCACGGCATGTTGCGGGATCATTTTCATTTCGAAAATTGACGGATGGGAAAATCAAAGGTTTTGTTTTCTTTCTGATGTATACACACATGTCTATATATATGTACACATACGTACACACAGACCCCATACGAGATGGTGCGCGGCGCGCGATCTTACCATTGTTCGCGCGTGCCCGCGCGACGAAAACAAATCAGGGATTGGCCATCCAAACCTCGAGAACAGAAGGGCGAAAATCATGACATGACGCATCGTGCAACAATGGACCCTCGTTCATTGCTCACACCTGCGTGCGCAATGAGCAATGCACAACTAGGAATGGAAACTAAATTTGTTCCAGTTGCATTTTGACGGCGTCCACATGCAATTATGCATTGTGCCACGGAACGTTTTCCGCATTGTTCGCAAAAGTACAAACAGCAAGCGGGAACGGGACATTTAGCTTCGTATTCTGAGTTGTCCAAGCCCACTGCAACTTTCGTAACATGAGGGTCACCGCGTGATATCAAGCAGTGTAACGCCATGCGTTTTCTGCATTGCTCATGCACCCGCGTTTTCGCGCGCGCAACAGCAAACCTCACGGGCGCATGCCAATTTTCATTTCGACACTGCATGAGAGAGAGAAGCCGTGCACGTCAGATGTGCGTTGGCAAAAGAGGGTGACACGACAGTGTCTACAAATCGGCCGCTCGCAGTGCGCCGAGGCGATGCGCAGCAAACCTGTGAGATATCCCGCATGGAGTGACATAACAATGATAATGCGACCGGCAATGCGAAACCTCCGGCGTCGCCGGCTCCAAGCACAGGTAACATGTCACAAGTCTTGTCATCCGCCACACACCAATTTATACAAGCGGATAACTGAACGAGATTCCCCTTCGAATTCAGGCCGAGCGAGCTCGGCGCTGAGACGAAACAAGAGGAGAGGAGGGCCGAGGGCGAGAAGGCGCGTTCCTGCAGAGCGTCGCGCAGTCCTTCGCAGACCAGCCATTTCTGGGGGAGCACGGGTCTGGCGGAGCTGGGGGCGCCCTCCTACATGATATTCCTCATGGATGTAATTTCAAGCAGTTGCACCTGAGACTTTGTACTGCTGTGATGCTGTAGGGTAGCAGCGACGGCCTTGGAGTCAGCCCTGAAGGTGGCGCGACACCCCTCGCTGGACAGGGCCAGAAATCCCACTCGACCTAGCACTGGGATGGCCGTCTCAAGCTAACGCCACAACTACGACAGCTATGCCAAACAAACATGAGCGCGAAGCCCATAGCACCCCGATGTCAGGACACCTGCACAACATGCGTCCTGCACCTTTGGCTGAGCCGGCCAAGCGCTTCCATGAGGACGGCGCGCAGGCATGGGTGCAATCGGGTGCGAAACAACGCAATCGCTTGACATGCGACAGTTTGATGCGTCACGATAAACGGCGCTGCATCGACAAACTAAGAAAAATATCCCACATTACCCGCGCCTCGCAACAACGATCGAAACAATCCAAGCCCACCGCGCAGCGCGCAGCAGGGAGACTGCGCCACTGCGTGTCCGAAGGGGCGCCACCCCGACAGCATTTGAACGTCATTCGATATGATTTGAAACGGAATGCGGGGAGCCTCGAACATCAAAGGGCAAGGATGGCCGCCAGCAGCCGGCCGTGCCGTCGGCGCGAAACCGTTGCAAGGATTCGGAACGAGCGTGCGCGGCGCTGCGAACCTTCCCCTTCCAACCCTGACCGCGCGGGAGACGATGACAGTGAGAGTGCAGAGCAGGGGTGGAGGAGGGGCACGAGGAACGGACATCGACGTAGGTGGTGGGGATGATAGAGGCGACGTGGAGAGGGGGGGGGGGGGGGGCGGGGCGATAGAAATATAAAGGAGGAGCGGGAGGACAGGGAGGAGGAGGAGGAGGAATGGGCATGCCAGAGACGTCCTCGCGGGACCGCAGGGTGCGCCGGTCCTCCGCAGTGACGGCGCGCGAGGATGGGGGAGCCAGGGGGTGGCGCTCGGCCACCCAAATTTTCCCGTGCAGCCCTTGCGCGTCGATTTTTTCGCTCCGCCAAAATTGCTTGCGCCTCCCCCAGGGGGCTTCCAAAGTGGCAGTTGTTTTCTCCACATGCGGAACACTACTAGGTCAGCTTTCTTCGTCCGCTAGAGGAACAGCATTAGGTGTGCTTTTTCGCCCCCCAGAGGAACACTTCCGGGCATGTCACGAGGAGGCCAGGCTGATTTCGCCTCTGCGGCCACGTCGCGAAGACTGGGGGTGGCTTTGTTCAAGGGGAACACTACTAGGTGAGACTACCGCGGCGGTGCCTGCAACAGGCTTGCACTGATATTTTCGGAGTCCTCTGGAACCTGCACCCGCCCCCGAATTATTGCCCCCCCCCCAGGCGGCGCCGTGTCCTGCGGGGGCCCGGAAGCCCCGACGCCGCTGACCGGGCCGCATCCTATGCCAATGCCCGCCGTCCGGCGGCAATGGGCCGGGGCGCCCCGATGTCCCGCGCCGTTTGACGGCTTACACGTCCCCGACTTCTGGCCGTCATGCACGGGGGCCCCTGGCCGACGGGAGACGCTGCCCCGAGGCGGAGAAACAGGCAGAACGATCACCCCTCACCTCCCGCTTCAACACCAGCTACCGCGCCAAGTTCCTACGCCCACAGCGCGTTCAACGCTCTCCCTGATCGCGCCCGCGCAGCCCAGCGAGCGCGCCTCCACGCAGCACAGAGGCACATATTCATCTGGCATTGCTTCGGCAGCGCGCGAGGCGCCGATCGGGAATCCCCGCGCGCGAACTTCGCAAGCATATCATGCGCCGAGAAAGATGTCCGACGAGTTGCCTACTCCTGTAACCAAGTTCCCGCGACACGCGTTTCTAACTTCGCGGCTGCAGGCCCTGGCGGACTTAGCGGCAGCGCTCCGCATCCAGGCGCTACGAGTCGGGGCGGCTTCGCACGGACTGGAGCGCATGCTGAACCGAGCGTGCGAATCTGATGGCAACTAAGTTCAGGCGATCGCACGCGCTTGTCGGAAACGCGAGCGGACTGCCGTCTGACACTGGCACGTGTGCGCCGATGACATGCAATCGCGCTTGCGCTGTGGGGGGCGCTCGTTTGGCGCGGCGTGCGCGACGCAGCTGAGCAGGCAACGTCCGTCAGGTTGCGCGAGCCGCGCCCAGCGCCAGGAAAGCAAATATTGGATCTGATGGGCGCCCCAGGGGGGTAAGGGCCACAGCTCCCCCAGTCACCGCTGGTCGGCTTCGCCCCCGAGGCGGCCCTCTCCCAGGACCGAGCCGGATGAGACGACGTGCGCGGGTGGAGCGAGAAAGAGGCAGGCAGAGGAGGCGAAGTGCCGGCCCGCCCTGGAAGGGTTAGCCGGAGCTCCGCCTCCGGGAGCCGAGCGCGGGAGGAGGAGAAATCGGGGGGGGTGCAGGAAAGTGGGCGAGGGCCCGCGAATGCGCGCGTGCGCAATGTAGAATCACATTAAGAGTGGCCGTAGTATTTACGTCCATGGAATGGTGATTACGGACCCTTTTCGATTCTTATTCGCGAAGCCCCAACGCGGAAATTTGCATTGCGACACGGTGCTATTTCATGGTTGTTCGCACGCGCCCGTGAGCGCGCCCCCGCGCGTGCAATGCAAAATGCATATTCATGTCAATTCCGAAAGTTGAATGCGAACAACCACGGTCCCATTTATAATTCAAGGGCTTCAACATGGAAAAACGCATTGTGGCACAACTCGCGCTCCGCATTGCTTCGAGCGCGTGCGCGCCCGTGC